TTTGGGGTTTTTGGAGAAGTAACATGTGCAGCTTTGCCAAACCAGCTGCCATTTCCATGCTGTTCAAAAATAATGGTGGAAATGTGTAGGAAACAGCACGTGTAGATCAGAATTTTTGTCTTGACAATGCTAACAGGCTGCAGAACTGGAATAACCACATGAAGGTGTCATAAAAATTCCAAAACCATGCAAAAAATCCAGCAAATTTCTTGTCCTGGGGAGTTGGCAAATGTTTTATTTACAGGAATTACAAGACACAGAGAAACACATTGGTCACCCTGAAATTCTTCTGTTGTTTCCACAGCTGATGCACAGTCCCCCATTCACCATTCCATGCTTTAATCTGTATCCTAGAAAAACCAGCAGGAATTAGGAACTGCCTGGAAGTGCCTGTTCCCCCTGGGGGCTGTTCCTGCAGCTGCAGGCTGTGCTGGGGGCTCTGCAGCTGGGATTGCTGGGGGCTTCAGGAGGGGCCTTTTCCCTGTCCTGAGGCTTCAGCCTTGAACCAAATCCCTTCAGCAGGGAAGGAGTGAAGGAGCTGGAGATCAAACCCCCTCTTCCAGAGGTCGTGTGTGCAAACCTGGGCTCTGCAGTGAGCTGGAGGTTGGAACAGGAAGTGGCTGAGTTAAAGAATAAGTTCAAAGCTTGGTGGAGTTAAGGATGTGCTGGACACAGAGAACTCTGCCAGCAGCTGTTGCCAGCAGTTAGAAAGTGTTCTCTGGGGCAGAGCAGGTGGTGTTTGCTCTGGGTTGTTGGTGTGCTGTTGTTAACAGCTTTATTTGAATCTCCAACTCTTTCCTTCTTTCAGAGGAGAATTCAGCTCATGAAGAGGAAGCTGGAGGGATCCAGACTCCCCTCTGTGTTTCTAATCCTCAGGTATGAAAACTCTGCCCTGTCATCTTCAGCTTTTACTGGAGCTTCTGTGAAGCTCCTTCCCTCCTTGGAGTGATTCAATCTGCTGAAGCCTTATTTTCCCACAGTCACTATTTCCAGCAACAAAATTCCTTCACATTTTACTTCCTGGTGTTTTCCAAAACTATTCTAAAGCACTGACAAAAGGCTGTTCCTCTGAAATACAGCTCTCCAAACAAACAGCTGCTGGGACTGTTACTGAGTGAAAAGGGGAAATGTAATTTCCATGTTAATAAAGTGCCTAACAGGAATTCCACTGCTAATTCTGACAAACCAAAGCTTGTTAAAAAAGTTGATTAAAACTTAAAAATTCAAGTTTATAACTCAGGTTATATTCCCTGCATGTAGAAATTGGTGGCATTTATACGTGGAGGACTGCTTCACACAGGTCCTTAAGATTTCTTAAAACTGGATAGCTGTAGGTAAGTGTGAGTGATTTACTGTATAAAACCAGCACATGCTTCTCTCTGCCAGGGCCCTCCAGCACACCCAGCTGTAAAAGCTGTGACTTCCATGGGTTATCACCATTTAAATACTCCCATATTTCAATTTTGGCTCAGGCACTGCACAGAACAGTGAATGCCCCAGCACTGAGCCCTGCTGTGCTCTCCAGTGGTTTTTTTTTTTTTTTTTTTTTGTTGCTTTCACAATGCAAAATCTATTTTCTGATTTCAGGTTGATCATTTGACCCGTAAAACATCTGAGCTGATTGTGTCAGAGAGCAGGACAAGAAGTGGGAAGATATTCCAAAGCTGCATTGTTAGTATCAGTTTTTCTTTAGTTCTCATCATTTCTGTTCCAAACAGTGAATAAAATCCAGAGCTTGAATGCATTTGCTATTGGCAGAATGAAATTCTCATCACTTCCTAAATTCCCATTCAATTCAACATTATCAAAAAGAATTCTGTCCCAGAGTGTCAGGAGCTGATTTGATGCAGGTTAAGAAAGATTCCTTAGATTTAGTTGATATCCTGTTGGGAATGCATTAAACCAAATTTCTCCTGGTTTGATCCATCAGCCAGGGGAGTTTGTGTCAGCAGAGACCCCCAGCACAATTCACCAAGTGCTTCCTTGGGAAACACTGGGCCAAAATGATAACCTGCCTTCTGTGACTGCTTCATTCCAAGAGAAATCCTTTTTATTTGCTTCATCAGGTCAGGGTGGCAGGCAGTGCTGCTTGTGGGAGCCCAAATCCTTCCCAGCTGGCACAGCTGGAGCAGAGGTTGTGTCCAGGCTGGGATTTGACCTTTGGGCCCCAGGTCTGTGCTGCTCCTCCTGTGCTCTGGGAGGCTTTGGGGGCCTTCACTCAGAGCTGCTGTTTGGAATATTGGGAATGCTGAGTGAGGGGCAAAATCCAAATCCTGTGGGATACATTTTTCACTCTTCTTTTACACTAAAAGTTGTTCCCTGTGAGGGTGGGGAGGGGCTGGGATGGAATTCCCAGAGAAGCTGTGGCTGCCCCTGGATCCCTGGAAGTGTCCCAGGCCAGGATGGACATTGGGATTGGAGCAGCCTGGGATGGTGGAAGGTGTCCCTGCCATGGCAGGGGTGGCACTGGGTGAGCTTTAAAGTCCCAACCAGTCATAGTCAGTGCTTTTTCTTACTCAGTGATGTGCCAAAAAAAAAATTAAAATAAGGTTATTCTGTTTGCTGTATTATTTGCTGTATATTGCAAAATCCCTGTGTGTTTTTCAGAGAGGTTCTACTGAACTTAGTAATAAAATCATTAAACAAAAGTTCCTTAAATAACCGAAAGGACTGAGGAGCTAAAGGTTCATTGTCATATTTTCATGGGAGACTGAGCAGGACAGAGCTCTCAGGAGGTTGTTGGGTATTGAGCAGCTTCTGCAGGGTACAGAGCCCTCGTGGTGCTGCTCCTGGAATGGGACTGTGCAGGGGAACAGCCACCATTGCCTTGGAATCATGGATGGTTTGGATGAAGGGACCTTCAATCCCACTCAGGGACACCTTCCACTGTCCCAGGCTGCTGCAGCCTGGCCTTGGACACTTCCAGGGATGGGGAATCCATGGAATAATCTGTGTCTGGGCCTCCCCACCCTCACAGGGAACAATTTCCCCTCTTTCAGTCTGAACCCACAACTCCTTGTGCTGTGCTGCAGTTCCTGATGGACACAGCTCCTTGATGCAGCTGTGGCAGCAGGAATACAAATCCATCCCAGCCTTCCTTCAGTTGGTCACTTCTGGCAGGAAAATAGCACCCAGATGTTCCTGCAGGCCCAGCACATCTGTCCTTCTGTTGTGTCACCACAGAGCTGCTGTAATGCCATGTGTTGGTTTTTTCCTTGGCAGGTGCACAAGGCTGAGCTCTGCTCCAGCCAGGACGTGCTGCCCAAAAGGAGGAAGCTCAGCGAGCCCAAGGAGCAGTTTTAGGTGCCCATCTCTGAGTCGGTTTTTTCCACGTGACTGTTGGGTTTTTAAGGATCTTTTCTGCTCCATTAGCAGTCCCGTGGGAGTGTGTTCTAAGGAAGGAAAATGTCAGGAAGCCCAGCTGAAGAATTCCAGACTCATTTTGTGCAGGACCAGAAATCCTTGGATTTGGGGATTTGTGGGTTGGCCCCGGTTCCAGGCACGTCCAGGTCCTGATGGAGGAAATTCATCCCCCCCAGCACGAGGTTTCACCAGTGCCTTTGGGCTGTGGTTCTGAGCTGAGGAACTCACCCAGAACCTGCCTGCCCCAAAACATCTCCAGTTTTGGGGTGATTTCCAGAGGGCTGGGCTGGCATTTACAGGCTGTTACAGTTTTGGGGTTACAGTTTTTGCTTTTCTTACCGGGACAGTTGGAGGAGTTGGATGCTTTTATTTCTTCCAGACCAGAAGCACCACACTCGGGTGAAAACCCAGCCCTCTTCATGCCTTAAATTCCAGATTCCCTGCCAGAATGCAGGAATTTCTGATGCCAGGTATCCATGCCACGAAGAGCCATGGTCAACAGACCCTGGTCTGTTGTGAGGTACCAGAGCTCTGGGAAAACCTGGGTGTCCTTAGAACAATTTATGGCAGGGGTTGGACACGGTGCCAACAGAAATTAACGTTAATTGCATCAGAAATGAATGTTAATTGTCCGGCTGCCTCGGGGAACGGGAGTGAAGCCGTTCCTGCCGGCACGGCCGGGGACAGCTGAACTTTTCTTGTCGGTTTTGACTTTTCAATTAAGAATGTCTGTTCATCATCAGCCCTCTATTAAACAGCGTTCACCTTGGGCAGCAGCGCCTTCCCTTAGCGGCGGGACGGGCCGGGTGCAGGGAGAGGACGGGAACGGGATGGGACACGGGACGGGAAAAGCAGGAACGGGATAAGAACGGGAACGGGACATGGAGTGGGGATGGGACAGAGGACGGGAGAAGAAAGAACGGGACAGGACACAGGACATGGAGCGGGGATGGGACACGGGACGGGAACGGGAACGGGACAGGGAGCGCAGACGGGACATGGGACGGGAGCGGGACACGACACGCGGACGGGGGCGGAGCCACCCTGATTGACAGGAGGAAGTCCCGCCCCCCGGCCTAGCCCGGCCTCGCTCATTGGCTGATCCGACGCGCGCGAGGTCCCATTGGTGGGATCCGCGGCGTGGGCGGGGCCAGAGGAGCCCAGGAAGCGGCGGCGGCCCCGCGGAGGCTTTTCCTGCCCGCGGCCCCGGAGCGGAGCGGGCCGGGCCGGGCGGACCCGCCGGGCACAGCGCTGAGGCCGGGCCGAGGTGAGGCCGAGCCGCGGGCGGGAGGCATTGACAGCCCCCAAGCCTCGTGAGGGGGGCGAATCTTCACCCGCGGGGCCGGGAGGGCTGGGACAGAGCTCGGGGGGGTGAGGCAGAGCCGGGCCGGGGTTGGGAAGCGGCGGGGACAGAGCGGGGGTCGCGGGCGGTGGGGGCGGCCGGCACGGGACGCTCCGTCCCCCGCGTCCCCTCCCGGTGCGGGACCCGCCCGTGCGGCCTCAGGGGCTCGGGGCTCCCTCCAGAACCTGGCCCAGCACACCGAGGGGTGACGGCCGCTCGCTGTCACCGCCTGCCACGCCGCCCTGGGAACGGGGAGCTGGAGAGCCTGGGGTACAAGGAGCGTCCCTTGGTGCTGGGGAGTGGGTTTGGGTCGGGGAGCTCAGCACGGCACTGCCCACCGTGCCAGCGAAGCTCTCCTGTGCCCAGTGCAGCGGGAGATGACGACGCTCACGCACCGGGGCCGGCGGGCGGACGGCAGGAACGCGGACAAGAAACCGGACAGCGAGGAGGATGCGGCTGCGGACAGAGAGGCGAACGAGGACGATCCCGATGACTCCAAAGACATCCGCCTGACGCTCATGGAGGAGGTGCTGCTCCTGGGGCTGAAGGACAAGGAGGTGAGGCAGGTGGCTGGTGGCGTGTGGGCAGTGCTGGGGCAATGTGGACCTGAGGCTCTCAGGGAGCAGCAGAAGGGATTGGATGGATTCTTCTCAGTGCTCTCCCTTGGACTCTTAGAACCTGCTTAGAATCACAGAATCATGGAATGGCTTGGCTTGGAAGGGACTGTAAAGCTCATCCAGTTCCAAGCCCTCACTACGGACAGGGACACCTTCCACTGTCCAGCCTGGCCTTGGACACTTCCAGGGATCTGGGCAATCCGTGCCAGGAGATGGCAACCTGAGCTGTGGACATGGCTATTAACTGCTGTCCCACCAGCTGTGCCTTGGGGACAGTGGCAGGAGGTGAGAGGTGCCCTGGGGGTGTTGTGTCACTGTGCAGAGCAAAGGGAGAGTTGTTCTTTCAAGGGTTCTCTCTGTGCATAGAGAGAGCCTCACCTGGTTTATCAAAGGGTGAACATCCTCCTGTCCCTAAGCACCAGCTGACACACAGTGAGCACTGCTCTGCTCTTTAAAAATTAATGTGGAAAAGAGCAGAGGTGGCTCTTGGGGGAAGAGGCAGAGTCAGCTGGGCTGAGTCTGGACCCACAGTGGAGAGGGAACAGAAGCTGCATCTCTGGTGGCTTCCTGGGCCAGGCAGGAGTGGTGATGGGCAGCTCCAGGGGGATGGGGCAGGGTGGGAATGTCAGTGCTGGGAGCTCCTCCTGTGTGCCTGTCACTGGCTTCCCTGGCCTGCAGAGCTGGGTATTCCCAGAGGGCTGATCCCTGTGGGAAGGGGATCCTGGGCAAACAGAATTGATTTGTGCTTATCAGCTGCTGGGAACTCACTTGTCAGCTCTGCCTGGAAGGGGAAGGTGCCTCGTGTTGAGTCCTCTGAGCTGCCTGAGCCTTGTCTTCACCCCTGCATCCATCTTCTGGATCATCTGGGGAAAGCTTGGTGAGGGTGGTGAGGCCCTGGCACAGGTTATTCCATGGACTGGGCTTGGAGCAGCCTGGTTTGGTGGAAGGTGTCCCTGCCATGCCATGGGATTTGTTGATCCTTAAGGTCCCTTCCAGCCCAAACCATTGCACAATTCCATGATTCTAAAACCTGCTGTTCCTGACGAGTCGATGGGGAATTGCAGACCAGGGGAGGCCAGCCAGGTGCATCTCTACAGAGGCTTTCCAGCTCCAGGAACCCACCTTGGTCAAGACTGGACTCAGTGATCCTGGAGATCTTTCCCAACTGTAATGATTCCTGTGAGAGCCTGTGTCCCACCCTGAGGAGCTGTGGTGGATGAGCCTCCTTCTCTTCATTCCTTGGGGGTGGAATTAAACCCTTGTGGGGTGCCTGAACCTTCTTTTCCACAGTTTCCTGCTGGTCTGGCTTGGTCCCAGCTGGTGCTGAGCTGTCACAGGATCCAGCATGGGGGAGCTGTGCTTGTGACAGGGGCTGGGGCTGGGGCTGGGGCTGTCCTGTTTGAGAACCCCAGATAAGATCTAGGAAGTGGCAGGAGCTCAGGGCTGTAAAGTGTAAATAATCCTGGAGCAAATATTTGAGATCAGCTTGGGAGTGGGGTACCATGGGCTGCTTTTTTCCTGGGCTGTGTTTGGTGTTCTTGGCTTGGTTAATGTAACCTGGGAACGGCCCTTCAGCCACCAGGAACCTGGGAGAGCTCTACAGATACGGGGAAAAAACCTTGTCATGCTTTTCTTTTCTTTTCTTTCTTTTTTTTTTTTCCCCCATCCTGTCCTTCCACATTCCTGTACTCAGAACAGAGGCAGCAGCAGCCTGGCCCTGAGCTGGGCTGTGTTTTCACAGCTCGAGTGTTCACTCATGGTTTGATGACTGGGGAAAAACAAGACAATTTTTGCCAATTTCAATGAGCTCACGGTGTAATTTCATTATTTAAAGTACCAGACTGTCCATGTAGGAGGACCTGGCTGCAAACCAGCCTGGCTTTTGTAACCAGTCTGATTCCAGAAGCTGGAAATAACCCAGGAGCTTTCAACTGGTTTGGTTTGGAATTTAAAATTTCCTAGGAGCAATGTGCCCTCGAGGCCAGGAAATTGAAACCTTTGCTCATTTTCACACCCATTCCTGGAGAACTTGTTTGTAAAGCCATGAGCAGAACCCAGGAGAGGAAACCAGGAGGGCAGGGATGAAAGGTTGCTTTGTCTTCCCCCACAAGGAACTGAAGAAAGCAAATAAAAGTTTTAATTTCTTTTATGGTTCTCTGTGCTGGGCAAGCCCAGTGTCCGTGTGCCCTGCTCAAACAGATCCACTGGGGACAAGAATTCACCCACAGGGAGGGAAAACCTTCCCTGGGGGAGGGCTGAGGGTTCCCAGCCTGTTTTATTTGGGGAGGGGCTCCCTGGCTCACCTTGTCTGCAGTCTCCTGGTAGCTGTTAGACCCTGAGCCCTGGCTGCTCCTGCCTTGCCCTGAAATCCAAGGAACGCTGCTCACCAGAGCAGGAGGGAACAATGGGGCTTTGTTCTCAGCAGGGAATGAAAGAGGAGTGGAGGGAGGGAAGGGAGAGGTCACCTGGGCTGCCCCACGGCTCCAAACCAGAGCCAGCTCTCTTGGAAAGCATCACTTGAGTGTTGTGGAACCTCAGGGAACAGTGAATTCCCTCCCTGCCCTTCCCTGGGCTTTCTTGTCCAGGTGTTTGGTTTTTTTTCCTCCCAGTTCCAATTGGAATCTGCAGTTCCAGCCCAGGACTGTCCTGTGCACAGTGGAAGTTGGAACTGGCCATTCTCTTCCTTTTTGCTGCTCCCTTTGATGTGTCTGATCTCCCTTATCCTCTTCTCCCTCTGTCCCCTCTTTCCTGGGCCAAATTCCTGATTCAGTTCCTGATTCTTTGTGGGTTGCATTTCCCAAACCTTTGCACTTTCTTCTTTGCCAAATTCTTTGCCTTTGGGGCTTGCAGCTCTCAGGATGAGGCCCCATCAACAGCCTGGAGTGCCAGGACAAGGTGGGGTGGCTTCAAATCGACACAGAGGAGGTTTAGATGGGATTTGGGGAAGGAATTCCTCCCTGTGAGGGTGTGGAAGCCCCTGGATCCCTGGAAGTGTCCAAGGCCAGGCTGGACAGGGCTGGGAGCAGCCTGGGACAGTGGGAGGTGTCCCTGCCATGGCAGGGGTGGAACTGGATGATTTTTAATCCAAATCCAAACCATTCCATGGCTCTGTGAAGCTCCTGTAGGAACTGGCTCTTGCTGGAGCCCCATGGGTTGTGGGGAAGCTCCTCCCAGGCCTGATGTTGGTTTCTTGGTACATGCAGGGGCTCTCAGGGGGGTTCTGGGGCTGGGTCGTGGATTTTCCCAAGGAGAAGAGCAGATTGCAGCTCCCCTGTGCCCAGGGACAGAGCCTGGCAGAGCTCCTTGGTGGCTGCAGCCCCTCAGCAGCAGCAATGCCCTGCTGTGCCCATGGAAATGATCCCACTTTGCTCCATTTTCCTTGGATTTTTTTTACCCCCTGGGGCTGGGCAGAGCCCATGGTGCAGCAAGGAGGGCACGGGCTGCACTTGGCAGAGTTTGCAGGAGCTTTTGGGCAGGAAAGGGATGGGGAAAATCCCTCCCTTTGGAGAGACTCCTGGGCAGGGTCCAAGCCAGGCCAGGAGGTTTGGGAGGCTGGAGAGAGGAAGAATTCCTTGCCATCATCATCCCCAGGGCTACACCTCCTTCTGGAACGACTGCATCTCCTCGGGGCTGCGGGGAGGGATCCTCATCGAGCTGGCCCTGCGCGGCCGCATCCGCCTGGAGCCGCTGTCCCTGAGGAAGAAGAGGCTGCTGGAGAGGAAGGTGAGGCCCCTGCGGGAACCCTGGGGCTCTGCCCTCGCCATCCCAGCTCCGCTCCGGGAGGGGCGAGGCAGAGCTCCTCCTCCAGCCCCACCCCGTGTTCCCGCTGCTCCTCCCAGGTGCTGCTCAAGTCGGATGCTCCGACCGGGGATGTGCTGCTGGATGAGACCCTGCGGCACATCAAGGCCACGGAGACGGCAGAGACGGTGCAGACCTGGATAGAGCTGCTCACTGGTAGGGCCAGGGGGAAATTTCGTTGTCCCAGCTCCCTCCAAACCTGCCTAGACATCCCTCGGAGCCCACCAAACTCACCAGAACCCAGTCAGGATCCCATGTCCAGCATCACCCTCTGCATCCAGAGCTCCGGGATCTGGTGGTGTGGGGACTCCAAAAAGAGGAGAGAGCCCCAAAACCACCCTGGAGCCTCAAATCCCTCTAAAACTCCTCTCCCTGGCCTGGCCCTGGATCCCTGGGAGGGGAGAGCAGGGGAAGGCTGAATGTGGGGGCAGGGAAGGATTTCCTGGGTGTTTTTTTTTGTTGGGAGCTCGATGGAGCTCTTGGACCTTGCTCCCCTTCTGAGGCCTCAGCAAGCCTGGGGTGAAGCATGGGGTGGAAGAGGCTTTGGAAAAGGATTTACCCTTTGGAAAAGGATTTGTCCTTTGGAAAAGGATTTACCCTTTGGAAAAGGATTTGTCCTTTGGAAAAGGATTTGTCCTTTGGAAAAGAACTTACCCTTTGGCAAAGGGATCTGCTGCCTGTTGCCACAGGTGGGAGAGGCAGACCTGAGTCAGGCCAAGGCATCAGGGCTCCTGCAGGAAGGGTGGAGGGACAGTGGGATTGGGAAACAAATCTTAACCCAGAGCGTCCAACCCCTCAGGAGAGACCTGGAACCCCTTCAAGCTGCAGTACCAGCTGCGCAACGTGCGGGAGCGCCTGGCCAAGGCGCTGGTGGAGAAGGGGATCCTGACCACGGAGAAACAGAACTTCCTGCTCTTCGACATGACCACACACCCTGTCAGCAACGCCTCCGAGAAGCAGCGCCTGGTGAAGAAGCTCCAGGAGAGCGTCCTGGAGCGCTGGGTCAACGATCCCCAGCGCATGGAGCGCAGGACTCTGGCCCTGCTGGTGCTGGCCCACGCCTCGGATGTGCTGGAGAACGTTTTCGCCAGCCTGGCCGACGACAAGTACGACGTGGCCATGAACAGGACCAAGGACCTGCTGGATATGGACCCTGAGGTGGAAGCTGCCAAAGGCAGGGGCACAGAAATGATCTGGGCCGTCCTGGCAGCCTTCAATAAGTCCTAAAGCCCCTCCACTCCCTGATATGGTGTGGGGGAGACCCTCGATGTGAGCCAGGGGTCTCCCCAGAGAGACCTGGAGTTCCTGGGGCATTGGGTGGGCTCAGCCTGGGGAGGGACCAGGGGATTTTGCTTTCCCCTCGCCAGGCGGGGGTGGGAGGTGAGAGCCCCCCCAGCACCACAGCCCCGTGCCTCCAGGGAGGGGTGGCAGCAGCTCTTCACTCCTTGCCCTTGGGGATTTCCTTGTGAGGCCAGTGCAGAGCTGGGGGTGGCAGAGCCCCGGCCTGGGAGCTGCTCTGAGAGGCCAAACCCCAGCACAGACGGGGCTGGGACACACTCCTGGGTGCCTCTCCCACAGCCAGGGCCTGTCTGTGAGCTCTGTGGGCTCCCCTGAGGATCTCACACCCTCCTGGGATGGGCTTTGGGGGTGTTGGGCAGTCAGGACCACCCCCATCCCTGGCTGCCAAGGGGCACCCAAACCTCCCCCACGTGTCTCCGTGGAGGAGCAGCTCTGCAAGGACCCCCGGGCTGTGCCCTCATGGCTCAGCTGCTCTTTCTAGTAAGAAAAGAAATTTAAACTGTGATTATTTTTGTTCACAACCCCCTTCTTCCTCCCCCACTTTATTCTCCTGTAGTTCACTTAAACGTATTTCTCTGGAGCCGCAGGGTCTGTGCTTGTTTCAGTGGGTGCAGCTGCCAGCATTGGCATTTCAAGGGGCACCGGCAGTGCTCGGGGGGAGGGTCCCCAGGCTGCGGGTGACACCGGGTGACACCGGGTGACACCAGGTGTCCTGACCTGCGGGTGGTCTCAACTGATGCTCCCTGCTGGGTGGGGGTGGGGTCCCTCCTCCCCCAGCCGCTTTCCCGGGGGCGGTTTCGGGGCTTTGAGCGGTCTCGGCCCTGGGGGATGGCCCCGCATCCCCGGCCCTGAGGGATGGCTCCGCATCCCCGGCCCTGCGCGCTGTCCCCGCATCCCCTCGGACCCGGTCTCGAACCCGCGGCCCTGCGGGACCGGGGCGCCTCAGGCCGCGCCCTTTGCCCCGCCCACTCGGTGTTTCTCGCTTTTCATTGGCCACTGGTCATGCCAGTCGCGGCTGCCCCGCCCCTTTGTTTGCACCACCTCATGTCAAAGCCCCGCCTCTCGCGCGCTTTGATTGGTCAGGTGTGACGTCACTGGGGCCTCTTCTCTCCTTTCATTGGGTAGCTCTGCTGCCCGTCACACACCTGAGGCGGTGGAGGCGGGGGCGGCCATTTTGGAGCAGGGCGCGGGGCCGGACGCACGGAGGGAGCGCGGAGCTCCCCCCTTGCCGCCATGGCAGCCCCGCTCGGTACCGGCGCCTTCACGGAGGAGACCGGGCAGGAAAAACAGGTGGGGGAACCCCCGGGAGAGGGAGGGGGTGTCCGGCCGGCTCCCACTGGCTCGGCCGCACGTCCCTCGTTCCAGTCCTAGGCAGCGATTGGTTGTTCCTGGTGTCCGTCTGGCGAATAACGGGCTCTGATTGGCTGTGGCTGTGGGTGGTGGGCGGGACTTCCGGCTTGGGTTCGATGGCGGCGTGGGGGGTGCGTGGGGTTGGTGGGGTGGGATGGGGGCGACTGGGGCTAGAGGGGGCTGGGATGGGCCCGGGATGGGGGGGATGGGGGTGGGATGTGATAACTGGGATGGGATAACTGGGATGGGAGGGGGCTGGGATAGGGCAACTGGGGGTGTTGAGATGGGTGTAAATGGGATGGGGGTGCTGGGGGGTTTGGGGTGGGGGTGCAGGGCACACAGGGAGATGGGCACCAGTGATGGGTTTGGAGGGAGGAGACTGGGAGATGTGGAGCTGATGGGGACAGTGACAGATCGTGGAATGGCTTCAGGGGACAAGGCTTTGGGTGCTGCTGTCAGACCCCCTGACTCCTTAAATCCTATTTAGAAACCCTAAAAGCTCTACAGGATACCCAAAATCCTGCTTGGGATTCCTGAAATCCTCCCCTGTACCCCCAAATTCTACGTGAGATCCCCCAAAATCCTTCCCAGGAGACCCAAATCGCCCGGAATCCTCCAGGAGAATCTTCAAATTCTACCTGGATACCAAAATATCCCCCCAGCCCTCAGAGCGATCTGGGAAGAGAAATCAGGGAATCATGGACTGGTTTGGGTTGGAAGGGCTCTTAAAACTCACCCAGTCCCACCCTGCCATGGCAGGGACACCTCCCACTGTCCCAGCTGCTCCAAACCCCAATGTCCAACCTGGCCTTGGGCACTGCCAGGGATCCAAGGGCAGCCACAGCTTCTCTGGGCACCCTGTGCCAGGGCCTCCCCACCCTCATTTCTTCCCAAATTCCAGCCTGAAAGCCCAGTTTGCCAAGCCAAACATCAGCATTTGTGCTTGGAGGGGCTCTCAGTTGGGAAGGAGCTCCCCCTGTCCCTCAGCTCCCGTGGGAGGGAAAATGGAAGGTGCTGGGAGTATTTTCTGAGTGCTTTTGCAGGATGTGCTGCTGGATGTTGTGTGCCAGCATCTCAGCTGGGCTGTGAGGCTCCAGGGATTTACAACCCTTTGTGTTTCAGGACACTCAGGAGAAGGACAAAGCCATCCCCCCCGAGAGGGCAGAGGAGGCCAAGCTCAAGGCCAAATACCCCAACCTTGGCCAGAAGCCTGGAGGCTCTGATTTCCTCATGAAGAGGCTGCAGAAAGGGGTATGTGAGTGTCCCTCAGGGGGACAGACCTCAGACCCCCCAGGGGTCAGCCCACAACTCCTCCCAGAGCCTGCCCTGGCCCTGGATCCCCCCAGCAGATCCCACTCAGCAGGGAGAGGGATTTGTGCTGTTGGAATTGATTAAATAGAGGGAGAGAGGCAGGACTGGGAGTAACCACCCAGAAAGGGAGAAAAAGCACCAGAGTGGAATTTGAAGGGTGTTGAGGCAAACCTGTGTTTTGAAAGTGTTGGGCATCCCAAGCTTGGATTTGTTTTTTTCTCTTGTTTTTTTCCCTTCTTGTGTTTTCTTTGTCTTAGGCTGGGGAAAAAAAAAGATAACAAAACCCCCAAACTAACACCAACATCACAACAAAAATCCCCAAACCTAACAACCACACCCTGGTCTGAAACCTGAGAAAAACCCCTGAATTAAAGGTGAACCAAGTGCTGGGATCCCTCCCTGGGATACCCCAGGGTTGAAGTTTTAACTCTGGTTTCAGTGTGCTGGTCCAGTGGCTTGGCTGCAAAGCCAGCCCTGTGCTCCCTGAAATCCCTGGGAATGGGATGAAATCCCTCAGGACTGGAATGAAATCTTTGGGAATGGGATTAATTCCCTTGGGAATGGGATGAAATCCTTGGGAATGGAATGAAATCGTTGGGAATGGGATTAAATCCCTGGGAATGGGATGAAATCTCTGGGAATGGGATTAAATCCCTCAGAAATGGAATGAAATCCTTGGGAATGGGATTAATTCCCTTGGGAATGGGATGAAATCCCTGGGAATGGGATGAAATCCCTTGGAAATCTCTCTCCAGTCCCTCTGTTGCTGCTTGCTTTGGCCCTGCTCTCTCCTTTCCTTGCCGAGGCTGCTGCAGGAAACACCAATTGCTGCCAGGCTGGTGGCAGCAGTGGCTGTGTCCCCTCCCCAGAGCCCTCCTGGTGCCATTCCCAGTGTCCCTCTCACCCCTTGGGCAGGGTTTGGTCTGTCCTGGCCTTTCCCTGTCCAGGCTGTTCCCATGGTCCCAGGACTGTTGTGGGAACCAGCGTGGGAGGGAGGGGTGTGGTGGCTGTGGGGGTGACCCTGTCTGGGTTCCAGGTGTCCCCAAAGCTGCTCCATCCCTGCCCTCCTCACCTGCACAGGGAGGAGAACAAAAGGTTCCTGGGTTGGGATCAATCCCTGACAATCATCAGGGGCAAAAGGGACTTGACTTGGGGAAATTAATTTGGTTTATTGTCCATGAAATCAGAGCTGAAAAAATAGTAAAATAATCCCTAAAAGAGCATCTGAGAGGTGTGGGGGGGTCTCTACTCCCCATGGAACCCCATGGGCTGCCAGGGAATTTCAGTTGCAGCTTTTCCTGCCCTTCCTTCCTCGCTGACCTGGGAGCCCAGAGTCTCTCACACATTCTCACTTCTCTGGCCACAGTTCCATCTATACAATCACTTTTTTCCCTTCCTAGTTGTGATATTCCCAAGGCTCAACCCTGGCCAGTGGCAAGTCCATTCCAAACTTGGCTACACAAATCTGGATTTTATCAGATCAGGGCTCCCTGAGGACACCTTGGGATAAAACCAGGCTCTCCAGAACTCCCTGTCCAGCTCTGCCTTGGCTCCAGCCTCTCCAGGGCAGTGGAACGAGGTCCTGCTGGGAAGGAGGAGAGTCCTGGGGTGTTTGATGATGTGATGTGATATGATATGTGTGATAAGGCACTGAAATGCCCTTTGAGCTGGGAGGTGGCCCCCAGACAGGATTTATTCCCTGGGGCAAAAGTCCTGCCTCTGTCACCCTGGCTCATCACCCCAGCCCAGAGGATCCTGCTGGGCTTTGCCCCTGCTGCTGAGCCTCTGCCGTGCCTGCCCTCAGCATTCCAGAGGCTTCTGGCCTGGGACTGAGCCCTGTTATGCAAGGGCAGAGTAGGTCAAGGCAGGTCCCAGCCAGCCAAAGTCCTGTCCTGTGTCAGAGAGGTGCCTTGAGTCAGGCCCAGGAGCTGCCACCCAGGGCTGGGCTGAGTCACCAAAGTCCTTGTAAGCCAGGCTGGACTGTCTGCCTGGATTTCCCCCTGCTCTGTGATGTTTTGGTGGCCTGGTTTAGAGCAATCCCAGCACTCCCTAAAGGATCCTTGTGGCTCTGCTGTTCCCCTGCTCCTGCACACCCAGTAACCTGCACACCTCTCCCTCTTCCAGCAAAAATACTTCGATTCTGGCGACTACAACATGGCCAAGGCAAAGATGAAGAACAAGCAGCTGCCAAGTGCAGGGCCTGACAAGAACCTGGTGACAGGAGATCACATCCCCACACCCCAGGACCTGCCACAGAGAAAGTCCTCACTTGTCACCAGCAAGCTGGCGGGGTAGCCTGCACTCTCAGCTGGGGGCTGCCCTCTTTTTGTCTCTTTTCTTTTGGCTAAATGGATTGAACTTCACTGTACCATAGGGATGGGAGCACCAGAATCCACATAGTCGTTTGAGTCTTTCCAGCAAACACACCCCAAACCCCAGGGGGGGGCAGGGTTGGGTTGGCCCTTCCTCTCAGCGAGGCTTTGCCTTAATTTTCCTGCTGTTTGAAACATCCCTGGAACGTTCCCTCCTCACCGGGAGAGCCCTGGGAGGAGCAGGAGAGGGCTCGGGGGAGGCACCTGGAGGAGGGGAGAGTGTGGAGCTGAGGGGTGGGAAGGGATTTCAGGCCTTGGGGGTCACAGGGACTGACCCAGCTGGGCAGGAGGTGTGATCCCAGACCTGGAAAGTGATCCCAGACCTGGAAAGTGATCCCAGACCTGGAAAGTGGGATCCCAAATCTGGAAAGTGTGGTCCCAGATCTGGCAGGAGGGATCCCAGGTGTGAAGGCATAGTCAGGTGTGTGTGTTAGAGCTTCATAGTGAAGAAATTGGCTGAGATGAAAACAATTCCGAGGGGGTGTTGGGCTGAGCTGCCTGGGAGCTGTCCCTGGCTCAGCTCACAGGGGACAACGTGTCCAGTGGGTGTGGGAGAGGGGCTGGGCAGGGTTTGGAACGTCCCTGTGGCTGCTTTGGGGGTAGAGCTGCCCCTGAGCTGGCTTGGCTGGAGGGGTTTGGCTGAATTTGGCTGAAAGCTCGGCTGCCTCAGGCCAGGGGACAGTTTCTGTGTCCCTGGTCACTTGTGCTCTGTGTCTGTGTGACCGAGGGTGAGGTGAGGACAGCTCCTCTCCCAGCACCAGGGAGGTGGGACCTGAGCCCTGCAGCCCCAGCCTGGTCCCAGACTTGGGTGCTCACAAAGCAGGACCTGGGAGAGGAGTTTGTGCTGCTGGAACTGATTAAATAGAGGGAGAGAGGCAGGACTGGGAGTAACCACCCAGAAAGGGAGAAAAAGCACCAGAGTGGAATTTGAAGGGTGTTGAGGCAAACCTGTGTTTTGAAAGCGTTGGGCATCCCAAGCTTGGATTTGTTTTATCTCTCGTTTTGTTTTTTTTCCCTTCTTGTGTTTTCTTTGTGTCAAGCCTGGGAAAAAAAAATAATCACAAAACCCCCAAACTAACACCAACATCACAACAAAAAAGGCCCAAACCTAACAAGCTGCAGAACCACCCATGCTGGGGGTGGCACTGTCCCTTCCTCGTGCCCTGGATCCAGTGGATCCTTTCCATGCAGTGTGGACACACCTGCCAGGGCATCCTGAAACCTGCCCCAGTTTCAGCCCCGTTCTGGAAGCACAAGGGCCAAAGGAAGGGAGGCAGGAGTGAAGGATGCCCTTGCAGGGTTTTTCTGTGTGTTCCTGCTCACCTGGGTGTTCCCTGGGTCACCTGTGTCACCTCTGTCACTTCCCTGGTGCTGGTTTGGACCGAGCTGTTGCTTCCCAGGAGTGTTTGCCCAGGGTGTGCTGGAATGTGGTTCCTGGATCCTCCCCGTGAGAAACAGGCTCTGGTGGCCCTGGGGCTGCTCCTGGCCACTCTCTGGGGAAGGGGTGAGGAATGTGGTGGGGTTGGGAGCTGCCCCTTGTCCCCACAGGGTCCTGCTCTGAGCTCCAGCACTTTTCCAGCCCCTGTGTGACCTGGCTGGGGCAGTGGCTGCACACCCTCCTTGGATGTCCTGCTGTCTGACCCAGCCATGTTGTAAATAGATACAAATATATAAAAATATATATAATTTTTTACATGTTCACCTCTTCTGGAGTGCTGTGCTTGCTTTTTATTAGAACAAAACCCAAAAGGGGAAATAAAACCCAAAAGAGGAAATCAAATGAGGGATGCAAAGGGGTGTTGCTGCTCTGGGGCTGTCCCTGTGCTGGGGGGGGGGACAGAGGGAGGGGACAGCCCCCCAACCATGTCTGTCCCTGCTTTTCCAGGTGTGCTTGTGCAGGAGGAGAAGGGACTGGACAGCACAGGATGAGAGCCAGCAGGAGCAGTTCTGAACCATGGCAGGGGGTTATTCCCATTATTCCCATTCCACCCCAGAGCCGGCTGGGCAGGGAAGGGGGCAGGGGGCGATGGTGGCAGCCCCCTCCCCACCTCTCAGGGTGCTGGCTGGGTGAGGGGTGTTGGTGTTTTGTGTTTTGTGTGTTTGTGTTTTGTGTGTTTGTGTTTGTGTTGTGCCACGGGCCCCACCCCAGCAGAGACTGGGGGGCACAGGGGAGGGGTTTTACCCTCTTGCCCTCAACACAAATCTCTGCCCCCACTCCTTGTGTGGTCACCTCTGTCCCCAGGGTCTCTCCGGGTGCCTTCTGTCCCTCACTCCTGCCTGTCCTACCTCAAGGCAGCCCCGTCCAGTGCCTTTCTCTGTCCCCACTCTCTGCTTCTTCACCTCTGGGCTTTTCAGCCCTGACCTTTCCCCAGTCCCACCTTTCCCCTGGAGCTCCCCAGCCCAGCCGGGTGTGTCCCTGGGCTGGGCTGTGCTCTGAGGAATCCTCCCGAAGCCTCTGAGCTGTGGATTGCCCCAGCATTGGGAATTCCCGAGCCCCTGGAGCCCACCGGGGTCCTCAGGGACCCGCAGGGACCCTCAGGGGACTCGCAGGGACCCTCAGGGGACTCGCAGGGACGCGCTGTTCCAGCCCGGGCTGTGTTTGTGCTAAAGCTTGGCACTGCCTCACAGGAATGTGCTGGGCGCTGCCAGAGCTCCCTGTTATTGCTCCTGGTGCCAAGAATTTGCTTCCCGACAAGGACGCATTCCTTGGGGCCATGGGAAGGATTTTGAGAGGGACGAGTTTTGTCTCGCTGGACCCCCAGTCAGCCCTGGTTTGGGGGGGTGGCAGTGGGGACAGGAGCTGGGGGGGTGAAGGGACCCCCAGGGGGATGGGACATGAGGGCTCCAGGCTCACCACAGCCTCCTTCACTGCTCCGCTGATGCTCAGTGTGGGGACAGAGGCTTGGATTCACCAAAGTTTGTCCCCAAAAATGCTGACCAGGGAGGTGGCAGCTCCCAGTGCCTCCCTGGAGGGGAAAGACCCCGTGGGAGGAGCTGTGCCCTCCCAACATGGGGCTTTTCATCCCCACCCTGCCTGAACCCCGAGGCACCTGGGGGATCTCCTGCCCCCAAAACCCCACTGCTGGGAAGGCCACGACTTCCCTGGGTCCCTTTTGGTGCTGGGGGTTCAGCACAGAGCCCACCCTGCCTGTGCTGCGAGGGGAAACCAAACCCCTGTCCTGTGGCCCCTGTCTCAGTTTCTCACTCTCAGCACATCCCAGTTTGGTGATGCCACCAGATCATGGGGGCTGGGGGCTGGTGACACTTCCCAGGTGAAGTCCAGGGCTCCCCTGGGTACTTTGGTGGCTTTTGGTGGCCCCAGCACATGTCCCTGGGAAGCCCTTTTGGGATAACTGTGATTCCAGGCCTCCAGACCCCAATTTCCAGTGTCTTGGCAGGCATCAAAGGGCTCTGAGGCTGTAGAGGTGCAGTGGTCACTGGCTCTCAGGTAGGAATGGCCCCAGCCCTGCAGGACAGCAGAGCCTTTCCCCCATCCCCACCTCTCCATTCTGGACTTTCTGGGAGGGGGAGATGCAGCAGAGCCCTGGAAAGGGCTCCAACAAAGGGGTGGGGTCCTTCCTCACTGCCCCAGGGCAAACCCACAGCATTTCCCTGTTCTTGGAGGCTCTGATCCACCTGCACAACCCCCTGAGGCTTCTTCCCTGGCCAAGCTTTGCCCAAACACGGGCAGATTTTGAGGGCATCTTGCTCAGTTCCAGGGGTGAAGGAGGAGCCTCTGGTCAGGGGAGACAAAAATTGATACCCAGTGCCCCAAGGAGACAAAAATTGATACCCAGGTGACTCCAGGGTGGCCCAGGCAGGTGATGGGTCCTGCCCTGCTCTGTGACCTCTCAGAGCCGGTGGGTGCAGGGGGATTTCAGTCCTGGGGTAGATGTGGGACAACAAGGGCTGGAAGGAGTGGGGCAGCTCCCCACAAATGTCCAGATAAGAGAGCCAAGGTCAGAATGGGCTTGAACCAGACAGATCCAGGCGAGATTCCTTAGAATCATGGAATAGTTTAGGTTGGAAATTTCTTTTAAAGGCCGTGTACTCCAACCTCCTGCAATGAGCAGGGACATCTTCACCAGATCAGGCTGCTCAAGAGCTCTGTCCTTCCTGACTTGGGATGTTCCAAAGGATGGGGCATCTACCACCTTTCTGGACAACCCGTTCCAGTGTCTTATTACCTGCATAATAAACAATTTTTTCTCTATATCTACCCACTTTTATAGCCTAAATCTACCCTTTTAGTTTAAACCCATCACCCCTCATCCTGGTACAATCTCACGAGGCCGGATCACCCTCCCTGCTTGCAAACCCCTTTTTGTCCGCAGCAGCGAGGCCGTGCCGGGCCCCGCAGGGGATGCTCGGTGCTGCGGGACCGAGAACGAACCGGCGGCTGGGCCAGGGGAGGGGGGACACGCATGGCCCGAGAATGGGGATGGTCCCTGGCGCTGGGGGGGCTTTTCCACGGAGGATTCCAGGGAGGATGAGGGATGGGGGGGCCACCAGCACAGCTGCTCCCGGTACCGGGCAGAACCGGGGACACGGGGAGGGGGGTACCGGGGATGGGGGGGGATAACGGGGATCAAGGGGGGAAGCGGGGGCGGAGGGGGTGGTCCCTCTTCTTTCTCTCTTGCAGCCGAAAGAACGGAAGCGGAGGTGGAAAAGGGGGCCGGCCGCCATCCCGCCCTCGCCCCGCCCTTTAGCGTCACCGCGCCGGTTATATAAACCAACCCCACCGGTCCCGCCCGCACCCCGCCGGCCGCTCGCACCGGGCGCCATGTTCGCCGTGAAGCCCAAAGCCGTCATCGGCTTCAACCTCTACTGCGGCGGCTCCCCGGGGCTGGGCCCCGCCGGGCCGGGGGAGCGCCCGGGCCCCGCCGCCGCCGCCGCCGCCGCCTCAGAGCCGGCCCGCGAGCGCTCCGGGGCCGCCGCCGGCCGCGCCGACCCCCCCCGCGCGCTGATTGGCCGGGGCGCGGCGCCGCGCGCGCTGATTGGCTGCGGCGCGACTCTCTGGCGCCCCGAGGAGGAGCTGGACGGCTGCGAGCCCGAGCCCGAGCCCGAGCGCGGCCCCGCCGCCGATTCCCTGCCCGGGACCCCCCCGGGACCCCCCGATGGGCTCCGGCAGGACTCGCTGGAGCTCATCAGCCGCTACCTGCGGGAGGTGGCGGGAGAGGAGCAGCCCAGCAGCAAGAAACTTTTTCCGGGACTCCTGGGTGGTCCCGGCCGGCCCGGCGCGGCGGGGGATGCGGTGATGGAGAAGGCGCTGGAGACGCTGCGGAGGGTCGGTGATGGAGTCATGGAGAAACACGAGCTCGCCTTTCAAGGTGTGTGTGTGTGTGTGTGTGTGTGGTGGCCGGACACTCCGGGGATGAGGCCGGGACCCCCGACCCCCCCTTTGGGGCGAGTTCCAGAGCCCGGTGCCGCCGGAGGGGATTTGGGGAGGGGGCGCAGGGTTGGGGGTGATGCGCTCGCAGCCGCGGCATTCACGGGATGCGGTTCGGAGGGGGTTAAATAAAGCAGCTGGGAAGAGATCAGAAACGAAACTGAACTTTGTTCCATTGTGACGAGGAAAAGCCGCTGTTGGTGTGTGCAGAGGAGATAATCTAGTTACAGATTAGCCCTGGTTCCTCCTCGCGTCCCCCTTGGCTCGCAGTGACTGTGCAAATAATCCCGAGCGTCCAAAGATTAGTTAGCTCAGGAGTTTCAAATCCTCACCCCCTCATTTATGTACGAGGGGATTTTTGATGGGGGGGAATCCTCCTGGGCAGTGTGCTCATAGAACCATGGAATGGTTTGGGCTGAAATAGACCTTAAAACTCATTCTGTCCCAGGCTGGCCTTGGCTGCTCTGGGCACCCTGTGCCCCTCTAAACCCTGTCCCCAAGTGCCACATCCACACAATGTGGGGGATGGTGACTGGGCACTTCCAGTGTCTGACAACTCCTTCCATGAAGAAATTTTTCCTAATTCCTCATTGAAACCTCCATGGCCCAGCCTGAGGCCGTTCCCTCTTCTCCTGTCCCTGTTCCCAGATCCCAAATCCCCCTGGCTGTCCCCACAAGGGTCCCCCTGATCCCCTTTTTTCCAGGCTGAGCCCCTTCCCAGCTCCCTCAGGAATTCTCCAGCCCCTTCCCCAGCTCCATTCCCTTCTGTGGATGGGGCAAATCTGGGAAATCTGTTTGAATGTATTTCACCCCCTCCTGCAGGGTCCTGAAGCAGCTGTAGGAAGTTGACTCCCAGTGCCTGTGGTGTCCTGAGGATGAACTGGAAATGGGAAGTGACTGGTTTGACCTGGTTTTATGTAACTCAGGCTGGTCTGGGGTTGAGTTCCCAGCCTTGGGGCTGGTGTTGGAGCAGTCAGATCCCAGGTCAGGATGGAGCCCAGCAGAGCAGGGCAGTGTCTGCATTTCCTCCTGTGCTGTGCTGTGTGGTGAAACACCTTCCTCCTCTCAGGAGGATGTGCCGACTTCTCAACTCAGCTTTTCTTTTTTTTTTTTTTTTTTTTTTTTTTTTTCTTTTTTCCGTTTGTTTGTTGAACACAAAGAGCTTCAGTTTCATCCTTAGCTGTGCTGCTGGGGAAGTGCAATGGGATCATTGTCCGTCCCAATTCCCGGACGTGCTTGTTGAATGATTCCTGGGAGGAATGTCCAGGCTGACGTGAGCTGGCCAGGGCTTGGGCAGGGATGGTGATTTCCTGAGTGCTGAGGAGGAACTTGCCTTGGGAAGGTTTCCTGCAAGTTTAAGCAACAACAAGCAGCAACCAACGCCTTTCGGTTTCGTAAAGGCTTGGCTTGTTTGCTTATTCATGGCAGGACACTGGAGGTCGGGGCTGGGGAATTCTGTTCTTCCAGGCACTAATGAACTAAGGTTAATGAACTGGGACACGTCATCCTGGCCCGGGGGGGCTGCCCCGGGTCTCTGCTCACCCCCAGGCTGTGGTTCTGATGTGGTGGGGCTTGGAAACCTTGAGACAGAGGAGTGTGACGTGCTCAGACACCACAGCTGTCCCCGAGACAGGGGGAGGAAGGAACTAAAAGTGTGTCAGGGGCTGGGTTTTGTCTGGCCCAGGTGAGGGAGGGCAGCAGAGCCCTCTGAGGAAGCAGAACTCGCTCTCCATCCCTCTGCGGGGGGGGTCACACCCTCTCCCTGCTCCTCCTGGGGCTGTTTGGTGCCTACTCCTAACCCAAAACCTTGCAGGAATGCTGAGGAAGCTGGAAATCCAGCAAGAGGAGGACCTGCAGTCGGTGGTGGAGGTGGCTGCCCACTTGTTCAGTGATGGGGTGACCAACTGGGGCCGTGTGGTGACACTCATTGCCTTCGGAGCCTTCGTGGCCAAGCACCTGAAGAGCATCAAGCAGGAGCAGAGCATCAGTTCCCTGGCTGGGATCATCACGGATGCCCTGGTCTCGTCCAAACGCCAGTGGCTGGAGAGCCAGGGGGGCTGGGTGAGTCACTGCCACCCCCAATTCCCGAGCTTTCCCCGTCATTCCAGCGTTTTTACAACATTCCAACCTTTCCCCGACATTCCAGCCTTTTCCCTAGGGGGGGCTGGGTGAGTCACTCCCCTCCCACCCTCCCAGTTCCTGAGCTTTTCCCAACATTCCAGCATTTTTCCAACATTCCAACCTTTCCCCGACATTCCAGCCTTTTCCCCAGGGGGGCTGGGTGAGTCACTGCCCTCCCCCTTCCCCGAATTCCTGAGCTTTTTTTTTTTCCCAACATTCCAGCCTTTTCCTGTTTCTGTGACGGCCACGTGTGTCAGCGCTGACTCACTCACTGCTTCTCAGGGGGGCTGTGGGGTTTTGGGATTGGCTCTCCATGAGCTGCCTGAAAGGGGTTTGAACTAAAAACGTGTTCCTGTCCAGGATTGGGGACAGCATTCCCAAAGCCAGGGCAGTCCTGGGAGTGCTGAGCTCTCCTGGAGCTCGCCCGTGGCTGAAATGGGGCTGGGGGAGCACAGGGGGTGTTTGGGGCTGGGGGAGCACAGGGGGTGTTTAGGATGAAATGGGGCTGGGGGAGCACAGGGGGTGTTTGGGGCTGAAATGGGTCTGGGGGAGCACAGGGGATGCCCCAGGCAGGCTGTTTCCCCCCCTCCCCTGCCCTCCTCCCCACGAGGGGTCCCTGGCAGCACACTGACCATCCCTTCTCTCTCCCAGGTGGGCTTTGTGGACTTTTTCCGAGTGGAGGATCTGGAGGGGAGCATCCGGAACGTGCTGATGGCGTTTGCAGGAGTGGCCGGCCTGGGGGCCAGCTTGGCCTACATGATCCGGTGAGGCTGGAGCTGCCCAGGACCAGGACTTTGGGAGGGCTGGCACCCCTGGGGCTGCAGAACTGCCCCACTCCCTCAGAGAGTGCTGCTGGAGCTGGACTCGAGTGACCCGAGGAGGACCTGGAGGTGTCCCCGGAGCAGCTCGTTCCTGAGGAAGAGGAAGGTGTGATCCCAGGTTGTGGGTGCTGATGGAGGATTTGCTGCTTTGGGAAGCTGAGCTGTTACTCTGCCTCCTTCGAGAGGATGGTGCTGGGGAGCTCAAGTGGGACTTGCTTCACTTGGATCCTGGAGGATCTAAGCTCCAGCAGCTCCTGCCTGGACTGAGGCTCCTGGGCTGGGCGAGGCAGCTGAGCCCGGAGCAGATGTTTGAGGGTTGTGGTTGTGGGTTTTTTTTCTGGAAATAGCACCTTCTGCTGCCGCTGCCCTGCCTAAACTTGCAGCTCTGTTGCTGGAGCAGAAGCGCTGGATGCTGGAAATGTTGTGCCAGCCTGCAGCTGTCCCCAGGTGCTGCCAGCGGGGTCTGCGAGTGGCAGAGCTGTGCCAGACCTGGGACCCTGTGCCATGGAGCTGGAGCCCTGCCCAGCCCTTTCCTTGGAGGGGTGGCTGGGGGTCACAGCCAGCTGTGTCCTGGCCCCAAACAGCCTCTCCTGGCTGCACAAAGACAGTTGAGAAATAGTCTGTTTGTTTGTAAGTATGTCAAAAAAAAAAAAACAAACAAAAAAACCCCGTTGGGCTGGGGAAGATGTAGAGAAAATGTAAATGTGTATAAATCTGTAGAATATATACATTTTTTACAGAGCTGATGATACAAAAAGGAGGAATTTGTTCTGAATGTGGGTGCCCTGTGCTTCATTCCTGATGGGAAGTAGCATTTTTGTGGCAAAGCCTCTTGCTCCTGCCCTGACTCCACTCGAGCCTTTCCCCCACAGCCAGGGAGGGTGACGAGCAGCAGTGGCCTCGTGGGCTCAGTGTGACCGCGGCTGGCTGGCAACAGCTGACGTTTCTGTTTGTTTTAATCTTTTTTTGGTCACTCTTGCCCTCCTGGCGGGGGTGGGGGAGCTGTGGAAGTTGATCTGGCCACTTCCTTCTCTTCCCTTCTTCCTCTTGCTCCTCCAAGCCGTGAGCTGGGGGCAGAGCTGATGTTTGAATGTAAAAAGTTCTGGGGCTGCCTCTGGCTGGCCCTGGGCTCCTCCCCAGGGTGGCTTTGCTGGCCAGGGGGCTCACAGGGTTTGCCCACCCCCCAACCAGGGGGGGCTGCACTGGTGGGACCCCACGGGACCGTCCTTGTTGCCAGGATGTGACCTGGAGCCTGAGCCATGGCCAGCTCAGCAATGGTGCTACAGCCAGGCCCTGCTTGTGTGCAAAACAAGCTGTAGTTTGGTCAATAAATATCTTTTCTTTCCTTCCACTGGTACCAAACTGTTTCCCCCAGGGAGGGGCTGAGCTCTCCCTGCAAGCCCCTGGATTTTTGGGAAAGCCTCTGTGGGCTGTGGAAAAGGGCTGGGGGTGTTTGGTGTCACTTTGGGGGTGTCTGGTGTCACTTTGGGGGCTCCCCACAGCCAGGGACAGCCCCCGAGGTGGCTGCTCACACCCCTTGGGCTGTGTCACCCCCCCAGCCCTGGGGACAGCAGGGACATTCCTGTCCTCAGGTTGTGCTCCTTGCCCATTCCAGGGATGGGAACGTGCTCTCCGTGGGGCTTTGGTCACACAATCCCACACTGGGCTGGGTTGGCTCATCCTGTTCCACCCTCTCCAAGCCCCGTCCAGCCTGGCTGGAAACACTTCCAGGGATGGGGAATTCACATTTCCCTGGAAAAGCTGTGCCAGGGCCTCACCCTGCACTGCTTCCCCCCTTCTTAGAGGGTGTGGGGATCTCTTTTCCTCCCTCTTTAGGGGCTCCCTGCGCCCCCAGACCTCCCCAGCTTCCCATCCCTGCAGGTTTGGGGTGGATGTGTCCCTCTCTCTGTGCCTCTTTCTTCTTCTGGGGGAGCTTCAGCTGGAAAATCCCCTCTGGAAAAGCAAAATCTTGCCCCAAAATCCGTGCCAGGGCTCCTGTCCCTGTGCTGGGGGACAGCAGCAGCTTCCCAAGATTCTGGCCAGGCTCTGAAAAGGACCCGGAGTGACTCAGCCCTGCAGTGCCCAGACTGCAAAATGCTGCTGGGTGGGGGTTTTCTGCTTTTTGGGGGTGGTTTTTGTTTTGGTTTGGTTTTTTTTCTGGCTGTTTTTTTTTTTGTGTGTGTGTGTGTGTGGTTTTTTTCTGTGTGTTTTTTTGTTTTGTTTTTTGTTTTTTTAATGCTGTGTCTATAGGGACTATTTTGAGTCTGTTTAGTTGCCCGGGGTGCCATGGGGCCTTAATGCAAAACTGGGCTGGTGCAGGTGGAGCTCGGGGTGTGGGGACTCCCAAGGGTTTGGGGTGTCGGTGCCTCGCAGGGATTTGGGGTTTGGGGATTTCCAGGGGTTTGGGGAATCCCAGGAATTTGGGGTGTGGGTGGCTGGCAGGGATTTGGGGTTTGGGAACTGCCAGGGGTTTGGGGTGTTGGTGGCTGGCAGGGATTTGGGGTTTGGGGACTCCCAGGGGTTTGGGGCGTTGGTGGCTCCCAGATTTGGGTGTGGGTGCCTGGGAGGGGTTGGGGTGCAGCTGAAAGTTGGGGTGTGGGTGGCTCCCAGGGGTTCGGGGTGTGGGTGGCTCCTAAATGTGGGTGTGGGTGGCCGGGGGGTGCTGGGGTGTTGTCGGTGGCTCCCAGGGGATGGGGTTGGGGTGGCTGGGAGGATTTGGGGTGCAGGTGGAGCTCGGGCTGTTTTGGCTCCCGGGGATTTGGGGTGCAGGTGGGGGGTTGGGTGTGGGTGCTGGGGGAGGAATTGGGGTGCAGGGGCCTGGAGGATTTTAGGGTGCAGGGACCGGGGCAGAATTGGGGTGTGGGTGTAGCAGTTTAGGGGTGTCTGAGGGGTTGGGGTTCCTGTAGCAGTTTTGGGGTGGGAGTGCCGGGGGGGTTTTGAGGTGCAGGTTCCTGTGGCAGTTTTGGGGTTCCTGTAGCAGCTCTGGGGTGCCTGGGGGGGGATTTGAGTGCCTGTAGCAGTTTTGGGGTTCCTTTAGCAGTTTTGGGGTGCGAGTGCCAGGGGGGTTTTGAGGTGCAGGTTCCTGTACCAGTTTTGGGGTGCCAGGGG